ATTCGACAAATTTAATGTCTCACCGATCTCTCGTGTGGTTATTCGCCGATTTGCATCAACTAATGCCTTTATCGCATCTTTGTCAGCTTCGACCGGCCTTCCAGACCGTGGTGCATCTTCGACATCAAAATTGCCGGATCGAAATTTTGCAAACCAGTTCTGGCACTGGCGTACTGTTAACACGCCTTCTCCATACACATCCGTCAATTTTTTTCTCGCTTGGACAGCATTTTTACCTTTTCTGAAGTAAAAAAGTAAAATATGACGAAAATGCTGCTTATTGCTCTCCATATTTAAAAGGGCACCAACCAAAAACTACTGCGTAGAATTAATAGAACTTTTTCACACACAAGCCTGGCAATATCAGCTCTCAAGACATATAATGGTTATGCGGCTTAAGTGTGAAGTTGGTATCGAAAAAACGTAATTAAGTCCTCTGACGGGAAAAAACGAAATGACTTTCCGAACAACCTTATATATTTATAACGAATTGAAAAATTATATTTATTTCTTGTTGTCTGTTTTGGCCACCACGACGGATGTTCAATTCGCCATGAGTTCTTCACAACAACAGCGCTCATGATGATGATTAAGGATATTTCTGCCTGCCACCAATAAAAATTACACTTAAAAGTTTTTTAGAGACTGCAAATCTTGTATGGATTTTGGTAGTATATTTAACTCCCTTGGCATAAGTTTCGAGACGCTTCTCAGTTTTGATATGTTTGTTTTATATTTCTTGTAGAATATGCATTTTCGTTGGCTGCTAAAAGAATTGTTGCCTCATTCAGATTTTTGTATTTTCTGTATAACATTTAAATTTCTTGAGTGTGAGTTACGCGTCTTTAATTCTATAGTTCAAATTAGCAGAATATAACCGATTTTCACTTGAACTGCATATGTAATGCAATAATTAATCTAAACACGGTTATTTCTCTAAATGCAGTTGTTTTGGAACAAACTGCCAACATCTCTAAGACTATTTAAGACACATTTAAAACAATAACTTTATTTTTACCGTCGAGGGAAACTATTACACTTAGACGACCATTAAACTACATACTATAAAAAATGCCAATGAACAAGCTATAAAAAAATTAAATTGCTTTAGCGACCACTTGGATGTTATGAAGGACTCAAAAAAAGCAGTAAATATTTTGTCTATCATATTCTTCAAATTTCAGCTCGGTTCTCCAAAAAAGTGTTGGTACGGGGGGAAGTCTCTCCCGTTAGAGAAGAAAGGGGTCGCGTGACGAGTGGCCATTTTAAAATATTTTCACTTAGCGCGCGCGGGACATAGGATAATTCCCGGCTTTTATTTTCTCGTTCTTTCGGCTGTGAATGGACGAGGGCCCCCCGACCCACCCACCGGCGGGACCTCTAACAATAACTACAGCACGAGAAATACATAATCGCATTTCCGTGTTCGTATATTTTCGGCGGATAAAAATGACGATTTAATGGGGGCCACACGAGATATTGTATTAAAACGCGTCCAGGGGCGGGCACTGTCATCGTTCAAGAATCTGAAAACCACTGCAGATACTTTTCAGCAGAAAGCTTTTATACCAATTTTATACTTTTGAGAAGTATTAATTTGAGGGCGATTGGGGAATACTTGATACGTATTCAGTATTAATTTGAATGTGATTGATAATACTTCTCAGTCATCTGCTTCAGATACTTCAGAAGAACTTAGTATTCACCCAGCGATATTTTTTAGTCGTTGCTGCTTAGAATGCTGTTCCAGCATTAACTGGAGAACGAATAACTATAATTCCATCGATTAGAATTGACTGACGATACTAGTAGTATCAGTTTGAAGACGACTGGAGAGACTTCACACCAAAATTTTCTTTACTATTCACCTGAAGGTAACCACTGTTGTAAAAGTTCTTTATTTGTCACCTGTAGATTTTTGCTTTAAGGTCGCAGGCTATCTTTTTTGCGGAGGGGGACGTTATCGAGAGCAGCGATTTCTTGGCAGATTGTCCTCGATCACTCCCTGGCGAGGTCGCATGTCGAGCGGTAGTAAAACCCGGAGAGACAGAATACAATAATTAGAATGGAACCATTACGGCTAGCGGCCGTTGTCCACTTTGCCACGATCGCAACAGGACACGAAATATTTCTGTCCTGATTATTTCTAATGGCGACCGGAAGATATACGAGACGGTTTAGCGCCAATAACCCTCGCAAGTAGATTCTGCCGAGGAAAGATGTTTATCAGAATGCAAATGACATTAAAATAAGGGTAAAACCATGAAATTACGTACGAGAATGGATAGTGTACCGGGTGGGCCATTAATAAAGGACGCCGGCCATATCTCAGGAACCTTTAATCCTACAACTTAAAAAAAGAGATGTTTTTAGGTAATCGACCAAGAGAAAAAGCTTGAAATTCTTTTCAGGTTCATAAAATGGCTGCTAGAGGGCGTAACCTCTACTGTAAAATTGAAAAAACGTGTTTTCTCAAAAATATTCCAAATTAACTTATATCAAAATTAATTTTAACATAATCCACCATAGATAAGGAAACTTTTTTATTTGAACTATTTTTTTCTATCTCGTTAAATTGAGGGTGGGGGAAGGGTCAAATATTGGTTTACAAAAAGTTGAATAACTTTTTTTGGCTAAACCGATTTAGACGAACTTAGTTTGGTTTTAAAGAGTATATTTATTGCAGCTTCGACTGGCATGTCAATATCACGAGATTAATTCTTTTACGAGTCGGCAGGGGGCGCTTCATGTGAAAAACAGCGGCCCGGTACACAAACAAGAATGTACGCGGATGGGTATAATTTAATCTGGTTTTACAAGCAATGTACCGAAGATATAGTTCGGCGATATAAAAGGACATGGTTCGGATTTGTGGGATTTATAGGAGATAATACCGAAGATGTAGTTCGCATTTACAGGATTTACCAGGAATGCACGGAATATGCTTTTTTTAAAATGTTTCTTGAATGTACCGGGATTGAAGTTGCAATTTGTTGGATTTACCGGAGTTGTTTCGGATTTACAGGATTTATCTTGGACTCTAATGAGAATAAAGTGAGTTCAGAGGATTTATGTTGCATGTACCGAAATTTTAGTTTTGATTTGTAAATTTATCTAGGGTTGTAGGTTGTACTTCGGATTTATAGGTAAACGACTGTTTAGTAAGTTTGCAAATTAAATTACTAGATAAAAACGTCATACGTACCCGAATCTTTTTAAAATAGACTGTTGTTTTTCTATTTGGAGGATATTTTTCAAATAACACTAATATAGTCCTCAAGTAATTTATTTTTATCAAAGATTTATATTTACATAGCTAATAGCTTATGACCATATCGCGTTATTTATTTATAAGAAATAATTGTTTTAAAAGACCAAAGTATTTTTTTTTGTGCACTGGCGTAGTAAGCTTTATCAATTGTTGTGTTTGCTAAGCTTTGTTTCATATTATTGGTTGTCACTCGTCAGTTTGACTATGGGTCACGTTGGGTGCCAAATTTTCTCCGTGAACGCCGTAACTTAAGCCCCGACCCCTTTGCTCAGCGCGGGACCTTGACATTTACCTTTAAAACCCATTGCGATCGTGCCGTATACTCGGCGGTTTACGCCTCATTAGTCGCTTTGTAGTTAACAGGTGTCGTTTAACAATGTATCACTTGTATAAGCTCCATTTTGTTCGGTACTGGTTTTTGTTCGGCATCTCTGTCCCGCAAATTGCCAGTCGCCCGGCGCAGAATAAAGAGGGAGAATGCCGCGTATTTTAATCGACAAGGTTTCGTCACAAGAGTAATTGTTGGTTATTCTTGTGGTTTCGAATTGCAAGTGGACCGATAGTTAGTACGGGGTTAAATGTCGATACGCCGTCCCAATTATTAAGGAGTACTTTCTTGTTTTCTGAACGACGTTACTGCCTTTTTTTCGAAGCGTAATACTGCAAAAAAACTATATAAAATTAAAAAGTCGCTTGGGAATTTTTATATTTTGTAAATGAACGATTTTTAAAATATTTTATTATATTATTTTGGTTGGTTATCTATAAATTGATTATTTCTTAGGTTTCTGCTATTTATTGCGTCGGTGGGTATTTTTGAAGCATTTGAATCTTTGAAAGTCTAGAAATCTTGTGAAAGTAGCGATTCAAACTAGTCCTAAGATCTCCTGCAAAAAAGCGCCATCTGGCAAAGGGAGTAACCAATACCGGTTAGACTGGATATTGCTGCTAATCGTAACGTCATTCTCATTCTTAGTGAGTTGATAAATAAATATAATTTGTGGAAATAACATTTTATTTTACGACCTTAGTTGCTTTCATTTAATTAATAGCAATGAATAATCCTTTATAAACAAACCTTACGTCCAAACAGCAACAACCATGACATCAGGGAAAATTGGAAAATTTGTAGGCTTCTCCAAATATATTTCAATAAAAAATATTTGTAGATTTCCGCCACAGCTTGGCAACAAGGCAAGTTTTCTGGTTCATCTTTTGATTAGATTTTGAAATATGGATTCTGTGATAGACAATCCAGAAATCCAATAGGGACACGGATAGCATTATTCAGCTTAAATGTACCATTCGATCATGCGAGGAATGACAGACCCATAGAAATTCTGAGAGAAAACTATTCAGTATCAAAAATCAAAAGCAAGAATTGCAATGCTGGTAGCCAATGTTTTAAGAGGAGGCGACAAAAAAAAGGAGTGTCCTTGTGGAACCTGGTAAATAGATAGGAAATTTGAGAAGTATATTTGTTGGGTCAAAATTTTTGAAAAATCTCCAGGCCGTTTTTTTCATTTTCCTTCTTTCTTCGTTCGTTTTACTATTTTCATTTTATGTCCGCCGAATTTCTGTCGCGGTACATCGGCGCTCTGACTACAAAAAGACTTTCACTCCGCGGAGAAGGAATGACGTCGTCCAGCTCACTTACATCCGCGTCTCTTGATCTTTAAACCGAACGAAACTCGTTTGGCCGACTGGCCAATGTCGCAAATCCATATCGGGACCGAAGCCGAGGATCTAGACGAATTTTTTTCTTATTAATGACGCGGTACTCATAGAAAATGGTTCCGACGGGGTGTTTTTTGTTGGCGTTCGCAGTGGCTTACGTCCACTGCCTGCCTACGATGTACAAATACAACGAAAATCGTATACTGGAGAAAGGTAGGTGCGCCGTTCGTGCGGGTTTCGGTTGGTGCGACGTAATTAGTGCAGCGAGTGGGTTCCGGGTTTAATTCCTCCGGGATTTTCGCAGACTTGGTCCCGGTATCGTCGACGGTGATCCCCCTGCCCATCTACAAGGTAAGCTCGGTCGTTGACGGTGTTCCATCCGTCACTAAAGGCGACAAGCTGAAGAAACCGGAAGGACCTGTCACGCTACTGACTGGTAATACCATCGCACGTTGGTTGTAAAGTTTTAACGTTATTTAGAATACAGGGCGGTCATTTTACTATTGTTCTATGCAGCTTTTTTTCTTCTGTTTTTGACTAACGTTGAAATAAGTACGATTAGTGCTAAAGCCAGTTTTCTTGAAATAAAATGCATACTTTATGTGCTTATATAATGCCAAATATAATTGAAATTAAATAAACAAAATTGGAATGCGGGTTTTCGACGTAATAATTGGAGGGAAAATAAGGGTCTATTTGTTTCAGCAAGCGGCAACAAGAAAGCGACTTCGCAGGACAAGAAAATGGCAAAACACGTGACGAAGAAAAATCTGGGCGATATCAGAGACTAGAAAACGGGATGTTAGCGTTTAAATGTTAATCGCCTACTAATGGAACCAAAGTTACCTGACTAAAAAATATCTCGTTATTGTAAATTTACCAGACATTTTTATACAACTTTTAACATCAATTTCACTCATGTTTTTTATGTAATGTCGCACAAAAGAAAAAAGGAATCGTTTTTATATTAGAGAAAAAGGAAAAAAAGTTTAATATAGATCATAAATTATGAGCATTAACCTACCAAAAATAGTTGACACAGTTGCTAATAAGTACCCCGAATAATTGTGAATATTTATTTAATTTAATTTGGGAATATGTGTAACTAACGAGTCGCAAACTAGTAATAAACAATTTCATGCAATTAAGTAGATTTTTTTTGTCCTATTGCTTTTGAAAAGAAGACGACGGTAAAATTGACTAAGGGGAATTTGATCGAAATCTTTCAGAAAAAGTGAAGTTCCAGAACAAAGTTTAAGTGGTAATTTTAGTGGTAAAGTACAGTTTCAGTGCTACGGTTTCATTCAGAAAATGGCGTTGTTAACATTTGGTGTAAGTGTTGATTGATGGCCGTTAATCGAAATGGACCAGAAAAAATGGCGGGCCTCAGCAAAATTTAAGTGATAATTTAGTGTTTATTGAAAATTGTTAATTCCGAAGGTGAAATTTTTATTTGAAGTGGTAATTGTATTAAAAACCAATACAAGTGAGAGTAGGTAATTTTACGAATGTTAATCGAAATCGACTAGGAAAATGGAGTCCAACCAATAGAGTTTAAGTGATCACATATTTTGTCTAAAGTGGGTAACCAAAACGAAATTTTTGATAGTGTAGTTTGTTTAACCAAAGAAGTTTAAGTTGATCAAAATCGATTAGAAAAAGAGGGCTTGCATATATTGAAAATGGTAATTTAATTAACCTTATTTGGATGTTGATAGTGGTTGCAGGTCGGAAGTAGATGCGTTTAATAACAGGAAGTTGACAGAGACTAGAAAAGGTGGAGTTCACTGCTATAAAATTATAATTTACAAGAATTTTCTCAAAAATACTACGATGAAATTCATGAAATTTTTTTTTTCTGTTCTCTGTTCTCTGTTGTTCGTTTCTCTGTACAACTGGCATTAACGCGACCATCAAATTTGGCTCCTTTTAAGCAGTCCACAAGATACATAAGTATATAATGAATAATCCGGATCAGACTCCGGCGTCTATCTTTTTTTTTGTCAGTGGAGGGGGGGGGGGGGGCTGGAGCGTCGGGAGGTATTTTTAAAAATTTAAAAACCGTATTTGAAGAGTATCGAAAAATAAATCATTTTTTCAAAACGATCGAAAAAGTTCATGAACCAATATCCGGCCCAACAAAAAATTATATGATTTTTTTTAAAATGTGCGTCGGTAATTTGCAAAAAACTGAAAATTGGGCTCCCTTTATATTGATAATTCACCATAACTAGAAGGCTGTGATTCAGTTGTCAGTTTCTTTCACATGACTATATAGCCCATATGGGCAGCTAAAACGTCTGTATTTATAGTTTTCACATATTGTACAGGGTGTTCGGGATATTCAAAAACGTCATAGGTGTCTCAAATATGTAGCTATCGACTTCAATTTTTTCAAGGAAGTAAAAGTCCATAAACTTTCGGCAAGTATTTTTTTTATTTTGAGTTTGAGATATTTGAAAAAGGCCATGCGAGAGTCGCTATATCTCCCACTCAATCTAGACGCGATGACGTCATTTACTATTAAGGCATGGTTTTACAAAACAAGTATTTTCTCGAAAACCATTTATGCTATCGAAAAAATTTATATACTAGGAAACGTGGGAGATTTAGGGCTATAACTTTTATATCGGGCATTTTTTGGATTATGTACAGGGTGCGTCGATTATGGGTAAAAAACACAAAAAGATCCCGAAAAATATCGCTGTCGCGTAAATTATTAGCCGTTAATGGAAAACTATAAAACATGGGGTAATTTGATTTAAACTGTGCGGAGAGATAGTTTCTGGTTTCGTTTACCATAGAGCGTGTGCGGGATATTTGAAAAAATATCAATGGAAATCGCTATTATTTGTAAAAACCTTTTATATCTACCAAAGTTTGCCGTAATTTTGAAGTTTGGCGGGACTTCAAAGTCACTTTGTAAAATTACATCGATTTTGTGGAAGTTGCATCATAGTAGTCACAGGATTGGTCATTAGGACGATAGAAAAACAATGCTTCCTTCTAGGACAAAAAGCCTTTAAAATACAAAGCTGCGTAGTAGCTTTGTACACTGCGTACTGCATAATATGGAGCACAATTTTTCAAATCTTGTTTAACATGAAAAGAACGATTTTTGATAGCGAAATAAATATTTCAGGCACTTTAGATGAAAATGGTAACTTTAACAGGAAATTGATCGAAATCGGTTAAAGAAAGAGTTTTCCCTCAAAACCCGAAACGAACGAGCACTGCCGTGCATTAGCAATTACCCAAAATGGATTCGGAAATCGCGGAAAATACGTAGCTACGAAATTTATCGCCATATTTAAACGCGCGGAAACAAAACTATTAAACTCGAACACTAGCCCGAAAGATTATAATTTTGAGTGGAAAATGGTTCGCGTGTAAAATTAATTATATTTTAAAGCTGTTTGGAGGGGGTTGACGTATCGATCGAATTAAAACAGGTACGCACAAGCGCTCGTGATTTCGGGAATAGTTTCAATTAGATCCAATGACTCGTCGCATATGGGTCCCTTATGAAGCTAGGTAAATATACTCTGCCTAGGAGTCGCACACTCTCCCATGCGCGTTGTTTGACAATAATTACTGACAGTTTTTCAAATGGAAAATATATAGGGTGGCCCAAAATGTATTACCCAGTAAGATTTTTTTCCTGTAAACGTGTGTTCGCTTCACGCCGGATCTACAGAGCTTTGAAGTTCAAGATTCAAATTGAAACAAAATTAACGAGTATACCATTAACCAACAAATAAGCATTTTTATTTTAATTAAAATTGAATCGACTTTTGGTAATATTTTTATCGTTGCGATGCGACCAAAGTTTTTTTTTGCAGTATTTAGAAGAACTCAGGCTAGGAGCTGGTAAAATACGAGTAAATTCCACAGCGCTTTCCTTATTGCAAGGCACGTTTTTTCATGGGACCCATTTTTTTCTCTGAAAACCAAAAAAAAACACCAGAGCCCATTTCACCTTTTTTCTAGTTGACTATTAAAATGTAGAATGTAAATACATCTTACGATCTACGTTGTTAATAGTAACGATTTTTACAAGACTTCTTCTTCATGTACCGTCTCCACTTCGGAGGTTGGCTATCATCATTGCTATTTTGATTTTGGAAGCTGCGGCTTTAAATAGGTCAGATGATGTAACATTAAACCATTTTCGTAGGTTTCTAAGCCAGGATATTCTTCTTCTTCCAATAGATCTTCTTCCCACAATTTTTCCCTGGATTATGAGTTGTAAAATTTCATATTTTGGTCCTCTCATGATGTGCCCGAGATATTGCAATTTCCTTTCTTTCACTTCCTGTAGGATCTCTACACCTTTCTTCATTCTTCTCAGAACCTCCACGTTGGTCACATGTTCCGTCCATGGTATTCTCAGCATCCCACGGTATGCCCACATCTCGAAGGCTTCCAGTTTCCGCTCACAAAACAGGTTAGGGGTCCAAGCTTCCACACCATACAAAAGGACCGGGAATACATAACACTTGAGCATTCGAGTTCTCAGATCTAGGCTCAAATCGCGACTACAGAGCAGCTTCTTTATCTTCACAAAGGCTGCACGGGCTTTCTCAATGAGGATGTTTATTTCCGAAGAATAATCAACATTGCAGTCGAAACTAATATATCCTCAGTCATCCAATCCTTTCGATTTGTTCTTTTCTCCGGTTTCAGATGCTTTCCGCAAGGTTCTATGATATTCGATTTTAAACTTTGCCACATTTCTTCAGGTTGGTTCCGAGTTGCCGAACAGGTATTTTTCTTGGTCTTGGTACAGCTTCACTTTCACGTCATTCCTTTTTAGTAGGCTAGTATCAATAGGTCTTTGATTCGATGATATTTTCAGATTTTTGAGCTTCACCATAATCTCCGCCACAAGAAGATTATGATCCGAGCCTACATCTGCTCCTGGGTATGTTTTGGCACTTTTCACTGAATTTCTATATCTCTGATTGAGGAGAATATAATCGATTTGATTCCGGACTATATGTTTTTCGTTGTCTTGTTGTCTTGCTTGTATATATTATATAATGTATATTATTTATATAAATCGAATCAAATTTATATTTGTGCTTAGTTGTGGTGCAATTGATTTAAATTAAATTTACTTCCTTTTAAATATGAAATGTTTTGTTGCCAATTTTTGACAACTGATAATTTGTCCAATTTTCGTATTTGTGTAAAGATGCATTTTTAGTATATTGATGTCTATTTATATTAATATATTTATTTTGTAGTATATTCTATTCGCCCTTTTGAGTTAAAATTGCTGAACAACGTCTCCGTACATTTGGCAGCGTACTTAAAAAACACTATGTATAACAAGATTGCTTATAGCGCAATAGCCTAATGGTTTTCAAGAAAATATTATATTATTATTATATTATCGTAATAGATCGTGATAGACTAAAACCGTAAATACAAAAATTGTAGCTCTTTATGCTGCCTATAATACTGCTTAAACCAATTCGAAATATTTTTACGAATTTCGATTTAGGCCTAATAATATATTCTGGAAAAGTACATACCACACGGTCTTTTAGATTTTGGTCCATAATTGAAAAACCCGTTACATAATCGAAAAAAATAAAAGTTATAGCTCCGGATATTTCGCGTGTCCTGGTTCTAAAAATTTTCCGATCGGTTGAACAGTTTTTGAGAAAATCATGTTTTTCTGGAAGCTAAAATAACCAATGAATTTTTTAAAAAAATTTAAAAAAATACTTGGCGATTTGTACTGTTTATATCTGGGTACGGACTTTTACTATTCTGCTAAATTTAGGACACTTAATCCACTTCGTATAAAGCACGGAATATCCTTAAATACAATAGTTTTAACTGTTAATACGGGCTATAATGTGCTGTAACTAATTTTTATTAAAAGAGGAATTCAATTCTTTGCGAATACCATACACTTCCTGTTTTTGAAAATCATCAAGAATTAAATCAAACTCTTGACTGAAACCTTCGGCACTGTGCTAACACACAATAAAGCGTTTTACCAAAAAGTTGGCATCTTCAGGAGAGGATTAAATTTAAATATCTTATGCACATCGTGGACTGTTGAAATTGAGCAAAATCCCTAGAACAGAGAACGGAGAACGGACAGACAAAAGAATTTTTTT